GGATTAGAGGAGCTTCTTTCACCCGTGGTGACTTTGACAAAAAATGAGAGGCCAATTGATAAATTAAAGGTTCTTTTGTTGAGTTTTTTATTGGCCCAGGATATATGACAGTGTGGGATGACACCTCTGTTTTTGATTTACTTTAGATGGAGTCTTTTCACAATATACTTCCGGGGCAAACCTATGGAGAGTTATCTTTGTACAAAGGTTGTGTAAATAGGGAGAGTTATCTATTTACATAGTAAGTATATTTTGGAGAGTTATCTATTTACATAGTGAGTATAATTTTGGAGAGTTATCTATGTACAAAGGTTGTGTAAATAGGGAGAGTTATCTATTTAAATAGTGAGTATAATTTTGGAGAGTTATCTATTTAAAAAGGTTGTGTAAATATGGAGTGTTATCTATTTACATAGTGAGTGTAATTTTAGAGAGTTATCTATTTACATAGTGAGTATAATTTTGGAGAGTTATCTATTTACAAAGTTTGTGTAAATATGGAGTGTTATCTATTTACATAGTGAGTATAATTTTGGAGAGTTATCTATTTACATAGTGAGTATAATTTTCGAGAGTTATCTATGTACAAAGGTTGTGTAAATAAGGAGAGTTATCTATTTAAAAAGGTTGTATAAATATGGAGTGTTATCTATTTACATAGTGAGTGTAATTTTAGAGAGTTATCTATTTACATAGTGAGTATAATTTTGGAGAGTCATCTATTTACAAAGGTTGTGTAAATAGGGAGTGTTATCTATTTACATAGTGAGTATAATTTTGTAAAGTTATCTATTTACATAGTGAGTATAATTTTAGAGAGTAATCTATTTACATAGTGAGTATAATTTTGGAGAGTTATCTATTTACAAAGGTTGTGTAAATAGGGAGAGTTATCTATTTACAAAGTTTGTGTAAATATGGAGTGTTATCTATTTACATAGTGAGTATAGTTTTAGAGTTGTCCATTCACAAAGTTTGTGTAAATAGGGAGAGTTATCTATTTACATAGTGAGTATAATTTTGGAGAGTTATCTATTCACAAAGATTGTGTAAATAGGGAGAGTTATCTATTTACCTAGTGAGTATAATTTTGGAGAGTTATCTATTTACAAAGGTTGTGTGAATATGGAGTGTTATCTATTTACATTTATTGTTACAAAAGCACGAAGTCCAAAGGACTATTGTGCTGTGCTAGTATTATTTACATATATATGATTAATTATTTACCACGATGGATTAGTATTGTTTTGTAGATTATTGTACAAATAGTTATAAACTTAACAAAGTTCTCATAAGATAGAGTATATACACAAAGAGAATTTGGTAATGTTTCAAAATATCTACATACAATTTGATTAGTCAGAGGGCAAGTTAAAAGAAGATGCTCTGGTGATTCAACATCTAAGCGGCATTCACATGTTGGATCACTGATAGCATTCAGTTTGAATAGGAAACTAAAGAAGGGTCCTTTGCCAGTTAAGAATAAAGTAGTGAATTTATCAGAAGAAATGAAATTTAGGACAGCAATTGGAAAGGATTTCTTGAACAGTTCATTAGATTGAGAAAGATAAAACTTAAATTTTAGATCCAGATATAGTTTGTTTTATTCTTTTTGAAGGGGATTTTTGAGTGTTCGATCTGTGAGAGAATTTGTCATATATACTTTGTTTGTAATAATTCAAGATAATCAGACAGTAAAGGGGTTTTCGCTAGTATATGTGTGATGTAAGAAGATGAAGTCCTATAAGCATGAATGCATCTGATAAGAATTTGATATTGTATAGAATTCAACTTGGATCTTTTTGCTGCAGTGATAAAAGGAAACCAAATATTTGATGCATAGCTTATTGTAGAGCGTATCATAGCTTTATATAAGATCAATCTACGCCGAGTATCAATGCCCCAAGTACGTGCACATAATGAGAATAATATATTCTTAAGTTTCGTAGCTTTCATAATTATATTGTCAACATGTGTTCCAAAATTAATCTTATTCCTTTGTCTATGATTTTTAAAAATAACTCCCAAAATTTTAACAGTTTCTGATGGTTGAATTATTTTTCCATCAATATTAATGGGCAATTTTTCATAGTTATGTAGATAGAGTATACCTGTTTTGTTTGGACTTAGTTAAAGTTTTACCTTTTCACACCAGGCTTTGATTTTTATTAAACATTTGGTAATATTATACTGAAGATCATAGATGTTTGAACTCCATACCACAAATGTCACATCGTCCGCGAAAGCAATTACTCTAGCAAAACTTTCGTTAAAAGATAAGTTGAAATCATTAAGTAATATATTCCAAATTCACTATTTACATAGTGAGTATAATTTTGGAGAGTTATCCATTCACAAAGATTGTGTAAATAGGGAGAGTTATCTATTTACATTGTAAGTATAATTTTGGAGAGTTATCCATTCACAAAGAATGTGTAAAATAGGGAGAGTTATCTATTTACATTGTAAGTATAATTTTGGAGAGTTATCCATTCACAAAGATTGTGTAAATAGGGAGAGTTATCTATTTACATTGTAAGTATAATTTTGGAGTGTTATCCATTCACAAAGATTGTGTAAATAGGGAGAGTTATCTATTTACATTGTAAGTATAATTTTGGAGAGTTATCCATTCACAAAGATTGTGTAAATAGGGAGAGTTATCTATTTACATTGTAAGTATAATTTTGGAGAGTTATCTATTTACATAGTGAGTATAATTTCGGAGAGTTATCTATTTACAAAGTTGTGTAAATATGGAGTGTTATCTATTTACCTAGTAAGTATAATTTTGGAGGGTTATCTATTTACAAAGTTGTGTAAATATGGAGTGCTATCTATTTACATAGTGAGTATAATTTTGGAGAGTTATCTATTTACAAAGTTGTGTAAATATGGAGTGTTATCTATTTACCTAGTGAGTATAATTTTGGAGAGTTATCTATTTACAAAGTTGTGTAAATATGGAGTGTTATCTATTTACATAGTGAGTATAATTTTGGAGAGTTATCTAATTACATAGTGAGTATAATTTTGGAGAGTTATCTATTTACATAGTGAGTAAATTTTGGAGAGTCATCTATTTACAAAGTTTGTGTAAATAGGGAGAGTTATCTATTTACATAGTGAGTAAATTTTGGAGAGTCATCTAATTACAAAGTTTGTGTAAATAGGGAGAGTTATCTATTTACATAGTGAGTATAATTTTGGAGAGTTATCTATGTACAAAGGTTGTGTAAATAGGGAGAGTTATCTATTTACAAAGTTTGTGTAAATAGGGAGAGATATCTATTTACATAGTGAGTGTAATTTTGGAGAGTTATCTATGTACAAAGGTTGTGTAAATAGGGAGAGTTATCTATTTACATAGTGAGTGTAATTTTGGAGAGTTATCTATTTACAAAGTTTGTGTAAATAGGGAGAGTTATCTATTTACATAGTGAGTGTAATTTTGGAGAGTTATCTATGTACAAAGGTTGTGTAAATAGGGAGTTTTATCTATTTACATAGTGAGTATAATTTTGGAGAGTTATCTATTTACAAAGTTGTGTAAATATGGAGTGTTATCTATTTACATAGTGAGTATAATTTTGGAGAGTTATCTATTTACAAAGTTGTGTAAATATGGAGTGTTATCTATTTACATAGTGAGTATAATTTTGGAGAGTTATCTAATTACATAGTGAGTATAATTTTGGAGAGTTATCTATTTACAAAGTTTGTGTAAATAGGGAGAGTTATCTATTTACATAGTGAGTATAATTTTGGAGAGTTATCTATTTACAAAGTTGTGTAAATAAGGAGTGTTATCTATTTACATAGTGAGTATAATTTTGGAGGGTTATCTATTTACAAAGTTTGTGTAAATAGGGAGAGTTATCTATTTACATAGTGAGTGTAATTTTGGAGAGTTATCTATGTACAAAGGTTGTGTAAATAGGGAGAGTTATCTATTTACATAGTGAGTATAATTTTGGAGAGTTATCTATTTACATAGTGATTATAATTTTGGAGAGTTATCTATTTACAAAGTTTGTGTAAATAGGGAGAGTTATCTTTTTACATAGTGAGTGTAATTTTGGAGAGTTATCTATGTACAAAGGTCGTGTAAATAGGGAGAGTATTCTATTTACATAGTGAGTATAATTTTGGAGAGTTATCTATTTACAAAGCTTGTGTAAATAGGGAGAGTTATCTATTTACATAGTGAGCATAATTTTGGAGAGTTATCTATTTACATAGTGAGTATAATTTTGGAGATAAAACACTCAAAGTCGCACCGCATAAGCCTCTTTTCCGTGAAAAATCAATATTTATTTCAAAGAGAAATATTTACTATTTCTTACTTTTTTGGATGAAGTATGAAAGGGTGAAAATATGAAGAGTAATGGCGAACGGAAAAATAAAAGTGTCCAGGGGCGGGAATCGAACCCACAACCTTCCGCTTACCGGGCAGATGCCATGTCCACTAGGCTACCCTGGACGTATTCCTCCGTTCGTAAATAATACTTAAAGTAACTTATAATACATTATAAAGGACTGCGGCGTATGATTATAAACACTTAAAGTCGCACCGCATAAGCCTCTTTTCCGTGAAAAATCAATATTTATTTCAAAGAGAAATATTTACTATTTCTAACTTTTTTGGATGAAGTATGAAAGGGTGAAAATATGAAGAGTAATGGCGAACGGAAAAATAAAAGTGTCCAGGGGCGGGAATCGAACCCACAACCTTCCGCTTACCGGGCAGATGCCATGTCCACTAGGCTACCCTGGACGTATTCCTCCGTTCGTAAATAATACTTAAAGTAACTTATAATACATTATAAAGGACTGCGGCGTATGATTATAAAACACTTAAACTCTTTGAAATAAATATTGATTTTTCACGGAAAAGAGGCTTATGCGGTGCGACTTTAAATGTTTTATAATCATACGCCGCAGTCCTTTATAATGTATTATAAGTTACTTTAAGTATTATTTACGAACGGAGGAATACGTCCAGGGTAGCCTAGTGGACATGGCATCTGCCCGGTAAGCGGAAGGTTGTGGGTTCGATTCCCGCCCCTGGAAACTTTTATTTTTCCGTTCGCCATTACTCTTCATATTTTCACCCTTTCATACTTCATCCAAAAAAGTTAGAAATAGTAAATATTTCTCTTTGAAATAAATATTGATTTTTCACGGAAAAGAGGCTTATGCGGTGCGACTTTAAGTGTTTTATAATCATACGCCGCAGTCCTTTATAATAATTTTGGAGAGTTATCTATGTACAAAGGTCGTGTAAATAGGGAGAGTTATCTATTTACATAGTGAGTATAATTTTGGAGAGTTATCTATGTACAAAGGTCGTGTAAATAGGGAGAGTTATCTATTTACATAGTGAGTATAATTTTGGAGAGTTATCTATTTACATAGTGAATATAATTTTGGAGAGTTATCTATTTACATAGTGAGTAAATTTTGGAGAGTCATCTATTTACAAAGTTTGTGTAAATAGGGAGAGTTATCTATTTACATAGTGAGTATAATTTTGGAGAGTTATCTATGTACAAAGGTTGTGTAAATAGGGAGAGTTATCTATTTACATAGTGAGTATAATTTTGGAGAGTTATCTATTTACATAGTGAGTATAATTTTGGAGAGTTATCTATTTACATAGTGAGTAAATTTTGGAGAGTCATCTATTTACAAAGTTTGTGTAAATAGGGAGAGTTATCTATTTACATAGTGAGTAAATTTTGGAGAGTCATCTAATTACAAAGTTTGTGTAAATAGGGAGAGTTATATATTTACATAGTGAGTATAATTTTGGAGAGTTATCTATTTACATAGTGAGTATAATTTTGGAGAGTCATCTATTTACAAAGTTTGTGTAAATAGGGAGAGTTATCTATTTACATAGTGAGTATAATTTTGGAGAGTTTTCTAATTACAAAGGTTCTGTAAATAGGGAGAGTTATCTATTTACATAGTGAGTATAATTTTGGAGAGTTATCTATGTACATAGTGAGTATAATTTTGGAGAGTCATCTATTTACAAAGTTTGTGTAAATAGGGAGAGTTATCTATTTACATAGTGAGTATAATTTTGGAGAATTATCTATTTACACAATAATGGAGGGTAGGAGGTTTTGAATGATGTGTGTATGCAACACATATCAAAACAGTTTTAACTTCGCATTTAGTATTTGCCAGCATTCCGTTTGGTTACTGCACATTTTTCTTTGAGTTAGACTTTGTTTAATAAACTACGACTTTATTAGATGCATTTATTAACTTCAACAAATTGAAGTAGTTCAAAATGAAATTCGATCAACTTGTGGTCAAAACTGGTCAATTTATATCACGTTGATTTGCCTCTCGGCTAAAAGAGAAACCAGAATACAAGAATAGACAGCGTATACAAGAGGAAGGAACAAAGAACACAGCGGGACTTCCAAAATTTGATTAATGCTTTCTTTTCTATCTGCAGCTCTAATGACTGACTCAAAGCGCTCTGGGTGATTTGGTCCATTGAGGCTGTTTCAGCAGCCAATTTGGGCAAACAGCTATGCTGACACATCTCCGACCCCCAGGTCAATCTCCCGAGGTGCTAATGGCCGAACAACAAAAAATCTTTCCATTGTCACAGACTTCTGCTCAAAAAGCACCTGCTCATTGAACGGGAAAAAAAATCCATCTAGTTAAATTCATAACCGTGTGCCCTCCCACCCCGAAGACCTCCTGCAGCGACTTTCGATCCGAAAAAGCCTCCCACCTCACCGAGTAGCTGGATTGTTTGGAGGGACTTTGTGAGTGTCTTCTGGACCGTAAGCGATGGACTCGGCTCAGCATCTGGCGCAGACACGTGGCGGACTCCTCTAATGGTAACTAATACAATCATACCGAGCATCGATGTGGAAGATTGCCAACTCCGGGTAAGCATATGATTAGCCCACCGCACGTGTGACTTCGGTCTCCCTCGTAACGACACCTTTGTCAACACGCTCCCGCCTTCCTTCATTCTCTTGTTAGATGATTAGCAAACTTTTTTTGTTGCGCTGTGTGTGTAACGTTTGGTAGGCGCGTTAAGCCGCGGGGTGGGAATATGGGATAAAGTCTCCGAAAAAGACGAACTTAAGCGCTATTTTATATTCTAATCGGGTCATTCTTAGGCTATTTTATTAAGACCACCGGTCTTGTACAGATTCACCATAGGAAGGAATCATAGAGTTCCTATACTCCAGGCAGCACAGAAACTAACAATTATTTTGAATATACACACACACATACAGCTTTATTAAGACCACTGGTCTTATACAGATTCACCACGGGAAGGAAGCATAGATGGAGCTCCTATACTCCAGGCAGCACAGAACCCAACAATTGTTCTGAATATACCCATACATACAGCTTTATTAAGACCACCGGTCTTATACAGATTCACCACAGGAAGGAAGCATAGATGGTGCTCCTATACTCCAGGCAGCACAGAACCCAACAATTGTTCTGAATATATACACACATACAGCTTCATTAAGACCACCGGTCTTATACAGATTCACCACAGGAAGGAAGCATAGATAGAGCTCCTATACTCCAGGCAGCACAGAACCCAACAATTGTTCTGAATATATACACACATACAGCTTTATTAAGACCACCGGTCTTATACAGATTCACCACAGGAAGGAAGCATAGATAGAGCTCCTATACTCCAGGCAGCACAGAACCCAACAATTGTTCTGAATATACATATAGCTTTATTAAGACCACCGGTCTTATACAGATTCACCACAGGAAGGAAGCATAGATAGAGCTCCTATACTACAGGCAGCACAGAACCCAACAATTGTTCTGAATATACATATAGCTTTATTAAGACCACCGGTCTTATACAGATTCACCACAGGAAGGAAGCATAGATGGAATTCCTATACTCCAGGCAGCACAGAACCCAAATATTGTTCTGAATATACACACATACATACAACATTTTTTTTTTAACCACCGGTCTTATACAGATTCCCCACAGGAAGGAATCATAGATAAAGTTCCTATACTACAGGCATCACAGAACACAAAAACAGCCTCCAGGTCCGACACATGTCCATTGGTCACAGAATCCACCGTGTATACGTCAAGGTTAGCGTATCAACGAAAAGACAAGTGTGGAATCAGCCGCGTTCTAGTCTTCTATTTCTCATCCAAATGCCCGTCGTACTGCTAAGTTACATAAAGATAATTTTCAGTTTGGCATCGAAACTGCAATTCAATTTTCGATTTTGAGCAGGCAAAGAAGTCTATAAAATCGTCATTTTCTGAAATCTCACATAATCCTCTTTATACACTGGTTACTCCTATTACAATTCAAACAATCTATATGACCCTAGTAAATTATGTTGTTGCTTATTCTAGAGAAGGAAAGAGGGGTGCTGTTGGTCTGAAGACCTGGAAATACCATTCAGTGTGAATTTGCTTCTTTTGGTCTCCTGACATGGAGTGTAGCCGCTCCTATGGAGAACAGACAATTGATACATTAGCCGGGTGTGTAGCACAGGGTGGCCCTACCAGGAGTTAAACTCCTGACATCCTGTGCTACCTGTTTACATCATCTCGCCATTTTGAAGCTGTAGGATAGGATTTTGGGAGGGCTAGTGAATTATGGTATATTAGAATTTAGACAACAATAATCTACCTAAATTTTATTGCCATCTATCGTTAAAATTTTACGCAAATAAATTTACTGGCAATGCGTTTCTTTTAAATATCATCAAATATTAACTCTATAGACCTTACTGCAATGGTATGAGTTATTGAATGAGAGGGCTTGGCTCATCAGTAGTGAACCCTCTCAGCGGTTTCGCCAAATTAATCTCTAGACCGCTCTACTATTGTATTGGACTGGTTTTGTTATATACCCTGCATTTTCTATGGAAGGCAGCTTAGGGGTGTTTAAGGAACTATGGACATAAGTAGAGCGGTCTAGAGATTAATTTGGCGAAACCGCTGAGAGGGTTCACTACTGATGAGCCAAGCCCTCTCATTCAATAACTCATACCATTGCAGTAAGGTCTATAGAGATAATATTTGATGATATTTAAAAGAAACGCATTGCCAGTAAATTTATTTGTGTAAAATTTTAATAATCTACCTATTCGATACAGAAGAAGAAACCCAGTGTTGGGGAGAAGAGTTTCTCTTCGACTCGTGTTTATTTTTTCATTGTATTGTGTATTCCATAATATATTAGATAATATTGTTACGTAGAAAGAGAAGGGCACATTCCAGAATGGAATGTTCCAGAACGTTCAAGAAAAATGTAGAAAAATCTGAGAACAACTGATTGGGCAATCTGAAGCGATTGCGCAAGGCTTAGCGCTGGCGGCTTTCTGATTGGCTGAACAACCATGGCCGTTCTGGAAAGATCTACTCCGGGATATATAGGGATGAGGAACTTATGCCAAAAAAAAAAAAAGAAGAAAGATAAAAGAGAGGTGAATAAGAACTAAGCTACGTGGTGTTCTCCAAGCAAGCTGCTGTCTCAAGAGGTCGGACTGCTGCTTACCGCCGACGCCGGTGTACTTCCTGGAAGTTTCTGGAAGGTTCTACCAACTTCTGTCTCCTGTTCTGCGCCTGTTTCCTTAATTGTGCTGCAGTTGGTGAGTTTGTGACTGTTGTTTTCTTTTTGTTGTTTTATTCTTGCATTCTTCTGTAATTATTTCATTTATTAGGCTTAAATAAAGTCCTAAAGATCCTTTGTACCCACGGAAGTTATTCTTTGTCAACCAACAACGCAAAAATATATTAGACTGGCCATCTAGTAAGCTAGTGAATGAGAATTTCAAGAGTAACAAGAATGAATAGGTATATATGAAGCCTGTTGGAGTAACAGTATTATGAAAAAAAAACGGGAATAATTTATATATAAAAAGTGTATATATTGTTGCACCAGGCTGCGGTTTAGCAGACTCTTCAATCTTGATTCTCTCCTCAGACGTGTCTTGCATCTTTCCAGAACGTGTCTCAACCATCCTACAAGGTTAAACCAGTCAATAATAAGACAACTATATTTTTAGGTGAAATCTAGA